TTTTTGACATCGGGGAATATTCTCAGTGCGTCAAATCAAGGTTTAGAGGTACTTAACCTGCTGACATCTGGTTCAGCTCACCCATTGATCGGTCTGAGAATATTAAGCGATTTTACCGAGCGTAAATATCATGAAATCCGATCACTTGTGATCACGGTCCAGGAGTTGTTCTGGGAAAACGCAACATATATCCACGACATCTCTTTACCAATATTCATGGAATATTCATACCGCACCGACCGATGTTCAACCAGTTGGCACGAGACCTTGAAGAAAGGCGTTGGGTCCATCGGAAGGGGCGAAACGATGGTCTTACGAGAGAATTTCGAACCCCTGGGATGGTCGCACAAGGCCAGCGCTCTTGGGACACGGCGTATATTCGTTCTGTTACATATGCCCAACATGGAAGGAGGATCCATTTCTCTTTATTGGCGAGGGTTCGACCGGCTCTCGCTTCGTGAATCCTTGTAAGATCCCATTTGACAAAGGATGATTGGCAGGTTGGTTTCGTTATCATTGTTTCTGTTCTTGCCGACAATTAGGGCTTGGCGAACCGGTGACAATTGAGACATGATGACGACCGCACAATTAGTGTATAGTTCTTTTGCTTCGAACAGCTTTGGGAGATATAATTTAATTCTCATCCGTGGATGAGACGAGCCAGTGGCGTTGGGAAAATGCCCCTGATTGGGCTATCAAATAGCTCTTAGGAAGTGCCCTTATTGTTTCTCTCAACGCTAAGCTTCTTCCTTATAGACCGTAAGCTTTTCGCCCGCTCGAGGCATTTACCGTCGTCTTTGAACCACTCGTTTCATAATCTACTCAAACTTCAGCTTCTATTAATCACGCACGGCCATCGGAACACGAGGCCATACGCTTACCATGCCAGGACCACATGGCTGCCCAGATGTACATATTTAAACCTGACTGATGACTCTGACAAGCTGTGAGGACACACTCCCGCGCTGCTGCCTGGTTACCGTTTCTTTCTTTCTTTTTTCCCCCTTATTCCTTGCCTATCGATCTGTTCACTCATTCCGGAGTGCTAGATGATGGCCATGGAGGAGAAAACCCCCAATCCAGAGGCGACTCATCTGCGCTGGCAGGCCGTCGACGAGGAATCCGGTCACATCCAGAGACCTCGACTGAACCGCTCTGCTTCCAACAGTTCTCAGCTCTCGTCTCGCAATCTCAATAGAAGAACCACTGTTGATCCTTCCCTCTCCCTGCCAATTCATTATCGAACAGTGTGCGTACATAGAACTCTTGATGTCCCACAGGGGAGCCTCATCGGTGACTAAATATGACACAAATAGTTCGTTTGAGATTGACGAGGCCGACGCTGCTCAGCGTACAAAGACTGTCCAAGCAAAGAGCGAGATTGCAACTGGTAAGTCTCCTGTTCACATGTGTCCGCATTGAATCTAACGCAATTCGATTTTCAGATCTCTCAAACCTCGACTGGCATACCATCTCCATCGAAGAATTGCAGAAACGTTGGCAAGTTGACGCATCGCAAGGGTTGTCGACCGACCAAGTCCAGAGACGACTTCGTCAATACGGCAAGAATTCTCTATCTCCCTTGCCCCATCGATGGTTCTGGCAGATATTTGGTTACTTCTTCAAAGGCTTTGGAGCGATCCTCCTCATTGGATGCGTGCTGGTCTTCATTTCATGGAAGCCCCTGGGCCAGCCACCATCACAGGCAAATCTGGCGTTAGCCATTGTGTTACTGGCGGTGTTCTTTATCCAGGCTGGCTTCAATGCGTGGCAAGACTGGTCTTCGTCGCGGGTCATGGCCTCGATTACCGCGATGTTACCAGAAAGTTGTCTAGTCCAGAGAGACGGTTCTCAGATCAATGTGGACGCCCCGGATATTGTGCCGGGGGATGTTGTCTACATTAAAGCTGGAAACAAATTGCCAGCGGATGTGCGACTCATCGACGTTTCGAACGATGCAAGTTTCGACCGCTCAATCCTGACCGGTATGAAGTTCTCCGATTTCTCATTGCAGAGTCGCAGCTAATGCTTCCACAGGCGAGTCGCTTCCGATTCACGGGACGGTGGATTCGACAGACGATAATTATCTGGAGACCCATTGCATTGGTCTTCAGGGAACTCACTGTGTTTCGGGCAACGGCAAGGGAATCGTCGTTGCCACGGCGGATTCCACTGTCTTTGGCGGAATCGCTAAATTGACCAGCGAGCCGAAGACGACCCTAACCACTCTCGAGAAAGAAATCCTGCGCTTCGTGGTCATGATTGTCTCGATCATGCTCGTCATGATTATTGTGGTGGTTGTCGTGTGGGCAGCGTGGCTTCGAGTCGATCACCCGGACTGGATTAATGTGCCAACCCTAATTGTCGACTGCGTCAGTGTCGCAATCGCATTCATTCCAGAGGGCTTGCCGATTGCTTTAACGGCGAGCTTAACTATCACGGCGAATTTAATGCGCAGGAATCAGATCCTTTGCAAATCACTGAAGACAGTCGAGACACTTGGGGCAGTGTCCGTCATCTGCTCCGACAAAACGGGCACCTTGACAAGAGTAAGCAGTCTTTCCCTTCCGTTCAGCAGTGCCCGACTAATAATGACTGCTTCCTTAGAATAAAATGTTTGTTACGGACTGTTGCATTTCCACCTTCACCTTGAGTCCCGAGTCGGCCAGAGACCGGATGGCCGTGGACACCAAGACATCTGGTGTCCACCAACTCCGCGCTGCCAGCGCTCTCTGCAACGCGGCCGAGTTCGATGCGTCGTCCGCCAATCTCCCACTTCAAGAGAGACATATCTATGGAGATGCTACCGATCAGGCCATCCTCAGATTCTCCGAGAGCTTGGGCCCCATTTCGGATATGCGTCAGACATGGAAGATGACCTACGAGCTGCCATTCAATAGCAAGAACAAATTCATGATTCGCACGTTTAGTATGGCGCAAGCCAGCGGGTCTGCGACCGCTCTGTCGGCGGCAGAAGCAGTGCAATTCAAGCCGGCGGATACCCTGCTGACGATCAAAGGCGCTCCGGATATCTTGATTGAGCGGTGCACTCACGCCATTGCCCTCGACGGGAATGTTGAGACGCTTGACGATCGTGTGCGAGGAAAGGTACTCGAGGTGAAAGATCGGTGGTCCAGCGAAGGCAGACGGGTGATTCTGCTTGCTCGCAAGGTTCTGTCGGGGACAGAAATCCTTGTAAGCCCATCATCGCGCGAGTTCGAAGCCGAAGTGATGAGCCAGGCCAAGACGGACCTGGTTTTGGTGGGGATCGTTGGCATCGTTGATCCACCGAGGGAGGAAATTCCTGATGTGGTCCAGACGCTGCGACGGGCTGGAATTCGAATCTTTATGGTGTGTTACATGTGTCTCTCCCAGGTTGAGGATGAAGATATTGACTATATTCCGTCAGGTCACTGGTGATTTCGGGCTCACGGCGCTGGCGATTGCACGACAGTGCGGTATTGTCACCACAGAAGGCACGGTTGATACGGTTGCCTCCCTTCAGCGATCTAATCAAATGACTGACAAGCTTACTGCATCGACACCGTCCCCTGCAATCCTGGTGAGCGGTCCTGAGATGATGGCTCTCGACGACTGCCAATGGGAGCAGCTTTGCCAATACCAGGAGATTGTTTTTGCTCGGACCACGCCCGAGCAGAAGCTTCGAATCGTCAAGGAATTCCGTGCCCGGGACGAGATTGTCGGCATGACGGGCGATGGAGTCAATGATGCGCCATCGCTCAAGGCAGCTGATATCGGCATTGCGCTCGGCAGCGGCTCTGACATCGCCATCGAAGCGTCCGATATGGTCCTTCTGGAAAGCTTCTCCGCCGTGGTAGAAGCGGTGCAATACGGACGAGTGGTCTTTGACAACTTAAAGAAGACCATCGTCTACTTGCTGCCCGCGGGGACCTTTTCCGAGTTCTGGCCCGTCTTCACCAATGTCGTATTTGGGCTTCCCCAAGTCCTGTCCTCATTCCTCATGATCATCATTTGGTACCTCTCGTCTTTTCACTCGGATGACTACATGGAGTTCACCCCCAGCTAACAGAATCCAGCTGCTTCACCGACTGCGCCGCCGCCACCGTACTCGCCTACGAAGCCCCGGAAGCCGACGTCCTCCTCCGCCCACCGCGCAAACCAAAACGAGACCGCCTCGTCGATTGGAAGCTCATCTTCCACGCATACGGTATTCTCGGAATCCTAGAGACCGTCTCCTCCTTCGCCATGTCATACTGGTACCTCGAACGCAGCGGCATCCCCTTCTCCGCCCTCTGGTTCAAATTCGGCGCCATCCCCCCCAATCTCGACGCAGACTACTACCAAGCCCGTCTCAACGAAGCCAGTTCAATCTACTTCATCAACCTCGTCGTCATGTACATACATACACTCCACCCTTCCCCCTGACCCAGTTCCAAAGCAAGATCACTAACATCCTCCAGGCAATGGTTCAACCTCATGGCCATTCGAACCCGCCGTCTATCCATCTTCCAACACCCGCCCGCCCTGAATAAAAATACCCAGAATCTTCTCCTCTTCCCCGCCATTGCGTTTGCGCTGTGCATGGCTGTCTTCTGGCTATATGTCCCTGCCTTCCAGCAGGCGCTCGGGACGAGTGCGGTTCCGGCGGAGCATTATTTTCTCCCGGCGGCCTTTGGCTTGGGCATTCTTTGTCTGGATGAGTTGCGCAAAGCGGCGGTTAGGAGGTGGCCGATGGGGATTTGGGCCAGGTGCGCTTGGTAGAGGGAGGTTTCTATTTCAAGACTTGGTTGGATTTGGGTAGTTTTCGAGAGTGGGAGAATAGGCAGTTGGTAATATAGTAATTTATTTCAATCTAATAGTAGTCAGTCGTCTATGAATATTTGCCCGCTTCACTTGATATGGGAAATAGATTCGGGATGGTGATTCTGATTCAACAAAGATGTGGCTACAATCAATCCTACTTAGAAACAGATCCAAAACATCATACTTATTGAACAAGCAAAAAGACGCAAAAAAGTCGCCCAATGCGGGGCTCGAACCCGCGACCTTGAGATTTGGGAAGAATTGGATGTTCTAAAAGTCTCACGCTCTACCAACTAAGCTAACCGGGCCTGGTGCTTGGGGAGTTAGAACTTATAAATCCATAACACTAGATGCCCTGCTGCTAGGCTACAAAATTCCCATCGTGGGGAAAACTCAGAGATGCAAAAGTCCAACCTTCTACCCAATTGGTTATTTCTCTAGACGACGACAGCCGTCATTAAAACTGAGATAATCTGGGTTGATGGAGAGGAAGCCGAGAAATATTCATGTGCATCCAGTGTACAGATATGCAGGTTCACACTTGGTCATCGTGAGCGGGTTTAAGGCTCGGAAATATCGGCAATTCAGGATAGCTTTCCAGAATCTCATCTTGATGACAGCCATGCTGACCATCGTCTAGTGGAAAGCTAGCACCAGAATCCCTCCACAGCGGATCGTATTCTCCATACCTCGCTTACGGCAGATTGGGAATTCATCCGCCGAAACCCAGCTTCAGGGCCCACAATGGCATTATGCTGGACATATCGGGCTTCTCGGGGGTTTCTCCAAAGGAATCTATCTGAACAAGGATCAGTGAAGAGCCGCTGAGTTCTGAACCTCAACAGGAACTCCCCCCGAGTCCAAACCCTGGTCCCTTACGTTGAGTCCTTGACTGGTATTTATTTTTATATCGCTTTTCAGCCTCCGGATTTCAGGAAGCTTGTGAATTGAGTTATCTGTCGACCTTAGTCTCGTCGCCAAGGCAGACGTGAGGTCCGAACACGCAGCACGTTGGTAGCACAGCATACGATAACTGGCAGGAATCCGTGGATGCGAAATGTGGGTCTCCCAAAATGTCATACAAACTTCGAATGATCGCTACTACGAATGCGTTATCGGACGCAGTTTACATTAATAATAGTCCTGTGGCATAACTTGGAGATGTCTATTTCATATCTTATCATTGCTCTTGTTCTATATTATCTTTGATGGTTATACATCTTCACTATTTGTATCCATGTGCGATAAGGATGGCTGTGTATCTCTACAGTGTTGTGTGCTGTTACACCGTTTGTATCGAGATCCAATCGGATGATGGATCAGAGTGCTTTGCTGGGAGATAGCTACTTATCTTGTATTCATGCATTGTCTGGAGAGCCGTGACTCGGTAGATTACGGAGTACATATCGACAGAATGAGTCCGGGGTGTGCAGGCATATAAAGAGCCAGAGGGCCGGTAACCTACACCATCAGCAATCCCAAACAATCAGTGCAACAGGAGGTGAAGCTCTCATGATGCTCGGGTCAATCTTTACCTTAGCGGTTGTCGCCAACACGGTCATGGCCACGCCGCTTCAGATCCGCCAGTCGGAGGATCCCAACACTGGCTTGACATGGATCTATAAAGACCCATCCCTGCCCAAGGTTATGTGAGTAATATGGTCGTGCGTCACTACGACGTTTTCTAACACCGGCTTCTAGGCTGTATAACACGGGGGATGGAACGATCTTGGCGGGATCGTCGTACGGACGCCTGGACAACATCAACTATGGCGGTGGCCCCGGGGGACTGACCCCCGAAACACTCATCAGCAACGTCAGCGAGGTCCTTGATATCGCTCAGTTTGCAGTCCGCAATATCGGCGGTGGCGGAAGTGCCAACGCCGACTCGGACAGGTTCTTGAACATTTCGATGGATGCCCATCAACGACTCTGCACGCCTGGTTCCGATATTGTCGGCGCTGTCATGATCCACGGCACCAACACTCTAGCAGAGACGGTAGGCCGACCTGCCATTTGAAACCCGAATTGGACTAATTCATTCCAGGCCTTCGGTGTTGACCTCACCCTGAACTGCTCAAAGCCATTCATCGCGACAGGTGCAATGCGACCAAACTCAGCCCTATCCGCCGATGGCCCTTTCAACTTCTACGATGCCGTCAGGACCGCCATCCATCCGGAAGCGCGTGATCGTGGAGCCATGATCGCCTTTAACGATCACCTGGTTTCCGTTTTCTACGGAACGAAGACGAACGGCAACACGGCCACGACCTTTCTGGCGATGGACCAGGGCTACATCGCCCAGTTTGTAGGCGGCCAGCCATACTTCTTCTATGGTGCATCTCTGCCCAAAGCTCGACACTACTTCAACCCATTCAACCTCACCCACCCCCTCCCCAAGGTAGTTGTGCTCTACGGTCATCGTAAGTAACAGACAACGCCCAGATTCAGACCAACACTAACGCCTCCAACAGAGGGTTTCGACGCGAACCTTTTATACGCCGCGGCAGCCGACGGCGCGAAGTAAGAGATCTCCCCCGGACGCTTCACATCCGAGCGCTGACAGATGCAGGGGAATCGTGATTATGGGGGTCGGTCCCGGCGGTCTTAGCACAGCCGCTACACAGGCCGCCAACGATCTCTTCAAGAAGGGCGTAGTCACCGTTGCCTCGCTCCGGCCCTTCTTCGGCGGAGTCATTCCGTCACCACGTGTCAACAACATGTAAGCTGAGCTTGTTCCTTGCGGAGAGAGTACCGAAACTAACACATCCCCAAAGCATCAGCTCGGGCTTCCTGCACGGAGAGCAATCTCGCATCCAGCTCCAGCTCGCCCTTGCATCCGGCTATGACGTCGACGGTATCCGCAAGCTGTTTGAGGGAGAGATCCGTAAAGTGGTCTACAACTCGGCCACGTCCTATTATAACGGAACCGTTTTGTAAGATACGACCTGATGCCTTTAGAGAGCGAAGATTGCTTCGCTAAGCGGATCCCCTCCGATAAACCCCGGGGAAGAGGCTCAAATGGAGCCTTGGTGGTCTAGAACTCTGTTAGTTTCTAGCTCCACACTATCCTCTCATTTATGTTCCACACGCACCCATCCCAAATATGGGATTACCAATTGTATATACCAAGCGTTCACTCCTTACCAATACAGGTTATTGTACTCCGTACACAAGTAATCAATCAATCTCACAATAGATGCGTCGAACTACTTCCAAAGGGCTAACTACGGAAAGGACACTGCGGTGTCTGTAAAGCGCCAGAACTTGCCAGTATATGGTTTTACAGTATCTACATTCCTCCCACCTCCCAACCGCCAAAACAAGCGTTTTCAAAGGAAATAAAATTCAAAAAATATAGAAAAACATACAACAGCTGGGATTCGCTGGTGGTCACCCACCCAACTACTAACCAGCCGGCGTGTGGCTTAAGTACGGCTGAGCGGACGGGAAGCCCTGTTTTCCACACCCTGTGGTCGTATGTGATGGATACTGCTTAGGAAGGGGATTATATAGCATTATTGAGAAAATGGCTGAAGAATATCATGGCTGACATCCTCTGTAGCTAAGAAATATTCAGTTGTCCTCTTCCGGAGGAATATGTCAGGGTGCAGGCTCTGGCCAGGAGGCTAAAAAGAGCTGATATGCAGGCGGCAGGGGACCACTAGTTAGGCTATGTAAGAAGGTGATAGTTGTTTAATTTATTCATTGTGCTTAGCCATCTTGTTTTCTTTTATTACCATGGTGATATCAGACTCGAGACGGCAATAGTAATCTCGGGAGGGAACGAATCAGTGAGTCGTTGAGGGTGGGTGTTGAATGAAAAGAATACTTCCAAATTGCGAGCACGTTGAAGAGCAAGGAAGAATTGCGTACAGCCATCTTGATACAGGGAAAAGGCGTACAGTGAAACTATGTCATTCTTGAGGGAATGGGGGAGGCATATTGGATTGCCGGCGCATACTGTTTCATTGTACCCTCCGAGGTAGATCCCGGGCCTAGAAGCGATTCATCGCATTGGTGAGTGCTTGACGGTGTTTGATAACCCGGAGGCTGAAGCGCATTGCGTTGACCTGATGGACTGTTTTATTGCCGTGGTCAATATTCCTGGTGGGGGGGTCCGTCTCCGATTGACCTGATGATGATCGTGGTCTCGGTCCATGCTCGGGGCCATGTACCTGAGTAGCAACTCGTGGGCTGCCAAGGGTGTGCAAAGCATGCCTCAAAGCCCCGAAAGGAGCCCCATGCCAGGGAACATGTCGATTGGCCTGTGCATTAGATACGCCTGGGGACACAAAGTCCTGTAGAACAACTCGTTTGTATAGACCTGCCCGCGATCCAAGAGGGATGGTACCTATCAGACCACTCGACCAAAATGCCAGCTGACACTTGGTCTGCCTTGACTAGATATTATGCCTCTACCAACAGTACCGTTCCGAATTTAGTGCTGGCAGTATTCTGCTGCCGATGGAACGCATCTGGAAGTGTATGGTCTCTGGCGATACTGCAGTTCTTGTTGGATGAAAAACTCGAGGTCTGACGGGACGAAAACAAATCCAGGGTCCATATCATTGTCAAATATTCGATGGCAGTCTGGGCACAAAGACACGCCGTTCTCGATCCCTCTGAGGTTGAAATCAATGAGCTTTTGCTGAATAAGAAGATATGTCTAGTTTGATTGTCAGTAATATTGTAACAATAAATGATCAAACTTAGTATTACATACTGTTGTGTCGTGAATCTGAATGGCATGTGCAGCATCTGGGGGAACAGGTAATTCACAGGCAACGCAAAGCCACTTGTAGCATCATTTTATTTCAGTCTTGAATGGTTGACTGATGAATTCCCTTCTGAAACAGAAGAGGTGATTTTCCTTTTTTGGGGGATAATCTCTGGATCTGCCGGTGAGGGGGGGAAGAGGATAGCATTAGTGAAGAGTCCATGGCTGTTAAGGAATGTGTTTAGGAGATAGATATGGAGAGCTTACAGGTCAAGGTGATAATCTCAAAGATGATTCTTTCGTAGTTCAAGGGAGTTGGAAAGAGGAAGGAAACAGAACGAGTTGGAACTTGGAAAAGCAAGTGCATTAGGTTGACAAGTAGAATGAAGTGAGAATGATAATGAGATAAGTAGAAGACTTTACCACGGCACAAGTCAGCTGATGTGTAGATGACTATGGCAGTTTGCAGTTCCACTGTTTTTATTATTCATGTGCGGAAGATAAATATAACGTTGTTTAGAACAAAATATTTGATATTATATATTGTGTTTTAGACACGTATAGTATAAACTGAAATATCGTACTCAT